CGTTGGAAACAGTACTCTGAAGGGTGGAGACGCTCTAGCACTTCAGCTCTTGCCAGGAGACCTTCGAGAGAAGTTCTAGAAAGATGTTTTGGTTCTGAAGGCCAAGCTGATGACCAGGTATTTTAAGGATGGGGTTCTAACAGCCTCTTCGGTATCCTAGTCCTTTAAAAGGATGAAAACGGAGGAAATTCTTTAAGCATTCTTTTCATAAAGAATGGCCCCTTGCGAGTCCTTTCAAATCACAGCTACTAATTCCAATAATTTCCCAGGATAATCAATTAGTTTAAATCACTGTAAAAATCACTAGTTATTTCCTCTAGGAGATCAAATTGTGTAGTCTCAGTGTGTGCAGAAGGGTTTTCGTTAATCTAGTTACTCAACAGCAAATACTTTCATTTTGTTAATGTGATTTTTTTTTAAGCCTCTGCCTTTATCTAAAGAATCTCTGCTACTTGGCTTTATGAAGAGAACTCTGTCTCTTATAACTTAGCTGTGCAGTTCCTTTCTGTCCCGGAACTTCTAGACAGAAAGGTACTCGGTCCAGATCTGAAAGGTGGGCAGAGTGGCTGTCTCCAAACTCTTCAGTTTGATGATTGGAGCATACACCTGTCACAGACTTACACTACAAACAATATCTAAATTAAATCGTTTCAATTAATTTTTAACTTTTTGTTACTTTTATGAATTTCAAAACTTATTCTTATATAAAAGATGCTGTTTGGAAATGTGCACGCATTGTGAATCGGCTGAATCACACGCTAATATGAATGACTTGTGGGGAAAAGACTTCAAATCTGTTTTGGAGTTATTTTAAAAAATACAGAATCACCACGTCACTGTGTTATATAGGAACATCATTGTTAATGCTAATATTCACTTCCTATCTTCAATCAGAGGTACCAAAAAATCAACACTGAAGTTTTGTATTAAAAGAACACTCTAGGCATGAAGGTACACGCCTTTAATGCCAGCACTCAGAAGGCAGAAGCTGGCTGATCTCTGTGAGTTTGAAGCTAGCCTGGTCTCACACAGAAAGTTCCAGGCCAACCAGGGCTGTATAGTGAGATCCTGTCTCAAAAAAAAAAATCATATAACTGATTATGCAGAAAAGGACTATAAATATTTAGTAATTTCAGTTATCTTTGTTTCAAGTTTTTAGCATTTATATTTTTTGAAACTCCTAAAGTTTGAACTGAGACGTAAAAGAGTCTGTCTATAGGGAGTTGTAGATGGTTTCAAGTGGAATATAAAGTGTGGGACAGCCTGTTTTTTAATTATTTTTAAATATTGAAACCTTTAAATATTGAAACTGAGCTCAAGTGAAGCTTAACTGGTAACTAAGTGATTTTAAGGGTGTTTCTTAACTGTTCCAAACATGAACAACACACATGTAATAAAGAATTGTATACATCCTGTTCTATGTCAGTGTCCTGAGAAGTAGAAATAACTTATGCACATACCCTGCTTGTTGACCTTTGCTGGTCCACCTACATGTTTTGCTGAGTAAGAGCCACTGTGCCAAACACAGGGCTGGAGTTTTCTAGAAACTGTCTCCAGCTGCCAATGAGCCTCTGAAGCTTGCATCTTGACTCCCACTGATTTACCCCTGATGTGCAGATCATAGCCATATGTCTAAAGTTATGGACAAAGCAAGGGCTGGGGAGCTCTATGTCTGACTTCAACAGCTCTGCCCTTACTAACAACTCCCAAGTTTTACAGAGCGTTTCAAGGTTTTCTTCTCTCTGTTCCACCCCTGTCAGAGAGGCAGGGTGCCTTAGGTAAAGGCTACAAGAGAACTTGTGAATAGAGAAGAAGAAAAAGAAAAAAAGTACAGTAGCTGGAGCTTAGGGTGTTCTCTAAGTGTCCTTGGTAGAGAAATTCAGCTTTGCAGCCAGAGGCCTTGCTGGCATCCCCAAAGGTCACACAGCCCAGGGAGGCTGAGCAGTTTATGTATCTGTGTATAATGTATAACAAGGTCCTTCAAACAGAAGTTTCATCACTACCCCTGCTGCCTGAGCATGGTACAACTGCCAAATGCTCTGGCTTCTTTTCTGGACTTTTTATTATCCTTCCTTTATTAAACTATATATATCCCTTAATGTATTTATGGTATACGTAATAAGTATATTATTAAGCAATATATTACATATCACAAATATTAAAGAATAAGCACACTAAAGAACACACACACACACACACACACACATATATATATATATCACATATATGAAGAATATGCCCATGATTACCTCACTTCCTTCTACTAGAGGAAAAACTGCCATTGAAGCCGCTAATGACATCATCAGTAAGCACCTGCCAAGGCTGAAGGAACTCTGCAAAACTGGGGAACTACATGTTGACAACATAGATGTGTTCTGTGAGAAGGGTGTCTTTGATCTGGATACCACCAGACGGATTCTTGAAGGTGGAAAAAAGATGGGGTTGCAGATCAACTTCCACGGGGATGAACTCCACCCGATGAAGGCTGCCGAGGTATGATGACAGTTGGCTCTTTCCTGCACACAGGCGCTAAAAAAGCAGATCCCGGGGCTCTAGACTGAACATTCAGTGAATTCCAGACCTGCCAAAAAAAAAAAAAGCCAGTGAAAAAGAAAAAAAGAAGGGAAGGAGGGAAGGAAGGAAGGAGGAAGGAGGAAGGAAGGAAGGAAGGAAGGAAGGAAGGAAGGAAGGAAGGAAGGAAGAAGGGAAAGGACAGACAACCAGGTGGTCAGTGCCTGAGAAACAATACTTGAGGTTTGTCTTCTGACCTCCACACATTCACATTCACACACACATTCACATACATACACAGTCATACACACACACACATTCACACACACACATACACATTCACACACACACACATACAGTCACACACACATACACACAGAGCCAAACACACGTGCACATTTATACACATTCACAGCAGATATACACAGAGACACTCACATACATACACGCACACGCAGACATACACACAGATACAAGACACACAGGACACATATAGACACACATCCATCCACATGCACACTTGCACACACAGACACACACACACATGGAAAGATTCACACAGGCACATGCGCATCCAAAGCTGTACACCGGCTTGGACGCATTCATGCATACACACAACTTGTTTCTGCTTGCCGGTGGTTTCCCGTGGTGGCTGCTGCCCTGAGCTGGCTAAGCAGGTGCTTGAGCGCTGTGCTACCCCTAGCTTGATTATTTCTTTTATCATCTCCTGTGAGTTTTATTATAGCCGTAGAGAAGAGAAGCATCCCTGCAATCTTATTTGTGAACTCCATGGCATGTTCCGGTTGGTACATGAATTAGCTGCTTTTCTTTCACTGTGGCAAATGCCTGACTGAAGCAGCTTTAGAAGGGAAGGGCTCATTTTGGCTCCTGGTTTGGAGACACAGTCTGTTATGGTGGGGAAAATATGGCAGCAGGAGCATGAGGCAGTCACAGTCAGGAAACCAGAGGAATTCTGGGAATCCACTTGCTATTTCCTTTTTACTCAGTCTAAGAGAAAATAACCCCCTCCATAATAACCTCAAACTAACACCTAGAAATAAACTTAACAAATGGGTCTTCTTCTTCTTCTTTTTTTTTGGTTTTTCGAGACAGGGTTTCTCTGTATAGCTTTGGAGCCTATCCTGGCACTCGATCTGGCGACCAGGCTGGCCTCAAACTCAGAGATCCGCCTGCCTCTACCTCCCAAGTGCTGGGATTAAAGGCGTGCGCCACCAATGCCCGGCCTAAGAGCCAATTCTATGGGACAGTGTCACCCACATTCAGGGAGACTCTTCACCCCTCCATTGAACCTCGATGCAGTCACAGACAAGTGTAGGTAGTTTCTCCAACATGATTTTAAGTCTGGTCAAGACGATAATTGTGCTGGTTCGTTTTGTTTCATTGTTTTCAATCTGGTACAACCTAGAGTCATCTTGGAGGAACTTCGGTTGAGGAAAGGCCTCCATAAGATTGGCACATGGTGCTGGGCATGTGCCCAGCAAAACAAAACAAAACAAGATTGGCACATGGACAAGTCTGTGGGGGCATTTTCTTGATTACTGATTAATGAGGGAGGATACCTCATTAATCACACTGGGGGCAATAATCACACTGGACTGATGGTCCTGGGTGGTATAAGAAAGCAGACTGAGCAAGCCATGGTGAGCAAGCCAGGAAGCAGCACCCTCCATGGCCTGTGCATCAGCTCCCACCTCCGGGTTCCTGCTCTGTTTGAGTTCCTGCCCTGACTGCCTTTGATGAACAGTGATGTGTAAATGTAAGGCAAATACCCCCCCCCCAATTTGCTTTGATCATAGTGTTTCATCACAGCAGTAGTAACCCCAACTAAGACTTAGAATTTTGCTCTTAGTGTGAATTCTTGCCTATGTACATGGGTACCAGGATCTGGATCTTCCTTACCTCTCCCCTTTTCTCTCTTGTATCTCTGTCTTCAACCAAACACAACAGACTACTGTTAACATCCTATACCTTGAATGTGCTGTTTCTCTATATGGGACAATTCATACTCTCACCCATGTTTTACCTTAGCTGTTACTTCTCTGGGACCTCATCCCAAATCTCCTTAATGTTAGATTGTGGCTTCACCCTGTTTTTTTTTTGCCCCCACTGGCTAAACTTGTACCCAATACTTGAAACTCCCTATCCCTGGAGGTCAGTACAGTGCCTAGGGTACTGATAGGGTTTTGCATGTAAATGGTTGCTGACTTTGTTGAATGAATGTGACCTGTGTGGTCAATGAGTTAGTATTGGTCAGAGAAAGCAACTAGTAGGTAAAACTGAGAGAACCCAATATCCATAATAAGCAAATCAGATTCGGAAAGCAAGGGTGATTGCAGAGTCAGAGAGAGACACCCCCTAAGGAGTTTCCACCAGACCTCCCAGATCCTTGGTCCCAGACATCTTCAGACTGGAGCACATTGCTGATACAGAGATCAGCACCTCCCTCTGGTTAGGATATGACAGCCTCCTACGGCCACAGAGTGACAGCAAATGACAGTCTGGATTCTTTCCCTTGGATTGTTGAAGACATGCTAGCCTTCATCTTGGAATTGTGTGTGTCTGTGTGTGAAACTCGTCCACTGGGGAGTAAAGTAAACAGCAGACCAAGCTGAGAAGAGACCCATTGTCAGGTTTCCTCAGTCATTCCTGAGTTGTTTCTGGCTAACAAATCTCAGTGTTTTTTCTGGAGAAAAACCACTTTCAAGTTGATAGCCTCAAATTATTTAAAGTTTTTTTTTATCTTTTCTAACTGAACTTTCTCCCCAGAGTGGATGGCATTCTGAGACAGCCATATTGTTTCTGTGTATACTAGCGTAATTAAATTTTATTACGGAGATTATTCCCTGGTTTTATTCTGATTCCTGAGAGTCATTTTTTAATGTGTTTGCTTTAAAAAAACAAAAACCAAACCAACCAACCAACCAACCAACCAAACAAACAAACAAAAAACAAGGTCTTGACAGGTATTGGTAGCACACGCCTTTAATCCCAGCACTTGGGAGGCAGAAGCAGGCAGATCTCTGTGAGTTCGAGGCCAGCCTGGTCTACAGAGCTAGTGCCAGGCCAGGCTCCAAAGCCTGTCTCGAAACCCTGTCTCAAAGAACCAAAAACCAAATAAAAACAAAACAAGGTCTCTCTATTGTTTTGGCTAGCCTAGAACTCACTATGTACCCAGCCTAGGCTGGCAATTCTCCTTCCAAATGCTTAATCACAGATGTGATCCACCATACCCAGCTTTAAGAATAGTTTTTACCAACAGGTTAATTTTCAATGGCAAACCCTATATCTATTTGGGGGCCTGCGCTCATGGGAAGCAGTTGACAAGAATTCTTCATAGAGCAGGGGAAGCAGTATCAGGTATTAAAATGTTGTGTGGTGAACCTTTTCCTCTCTGCCCATTCTGCTTAGCTCGGGGCTGAACTAGGAGCACAGGCGATCAGTCACCTGGAGGAAGTAAGTGACGAAGGCATCACTGCCATGGCTGCAGCTAGGTGTTCTGCTATCCTTCTGCCCACCACAGCCTACATGCTGAGGTAAGGACCTTTCTCAACCTGACACGTTGCCTTCAACTACAGGTTGTGATAACACAGACTTCAACGGTGCATAGGTATTGTTCCATGCAAACTCTTGAGAATACTGATAAAACTCAGATGCCAAGAGATGTAGCAACAGTGGTATAAAGTTGTCATCCTAAAGGTGCAAACAACAGATAAATACATAAACGTTGGGGGTGCTAATGCTCCCCTCCACTCCACCACTTACCCTGGAACTTTCTTCCCTCTTCTAGAACATGAAATGTTTCCTTTGTTCTTATGGAAGTTCCAGCTGGAGACTGACACCTTTTCCCTCCACCCCTTAGGTTGAAGCAGCCTCGAGCCAGGAAGATGCTAGATGAAGGAGTCATAGTTGCCCTGGGCAGCGATTTCAACCCCAATGCATACTGCTTTTCAATGGTAATTACTTTTCAGATATTTTTCTGAACAGAGTAAACTGTGGAATACATAAATGTTTAAATTTTCTATTAGTTGTGAAAATGTATTTAAGAATCTTCAAGTATTTCCCTGAGAAGAAAGAGGAAAAGGCTATAGTCAGTGGTTTAATTGAAGTTTTCTGCACACACCTCTGCAGCCAGGACTGAAGAGATCAATCTTAATTTGAATTGTCTTCTGATTCAGCTTTGAGACTTAAGTTTTTGTAATAAGCTATTTTCCTTCTCTGGGGTGTGACAGAGACAGTGAGGCTTTCGTTGGTAAGGGTGGAGGAAAACTTCTTACATGGCAAAGGGTCTTGAAAACTGGTAATGCTAACTAAATATACAGTATTATTCAGTAATAAAGTTTAAGAATCTTATGTAAAAATTTTCATTTTCCCATAGCAACTGAACTATGTATACTATATATTATTTACATGTGTAACATATAATATATTATATACTATACATAATATATATTGTACACTATATGTGTGTTTATGGTTTTTTGGGGGGATAGGGAAGTGGAATAAAACCTGGGGCCTTTGCATACTATTTCTGGGCTATTCCTTCCAGACACACATTGAATTGTCTTTACTTGTGCTGTGTGGAGAAGTAGCCTGATAGGCAATCACTGCTCTGTGGTTCTCCTCCAATGCTTTCTCTTTGTGCCTTAGCCGATGGTCATGCACCTGGCCTGTGTGAACATGAGAATGTCCATGCCGGAGGCCTTGGCTGCTGCCACCATCAATGCAGCTTATGCGCTGGGGAAATCTCACACACACGGATCTTTAGAAGTTGGCAAGCAGGGGGATCTTGTCATCATCAATGCATCCAGGTGAGGGGCCTCCCAAGTTAGTAGTAACCATGGTAACCATTAGCTGTCTTATTTGATGCCCATGTACACAAGCTTTAGACCCTTTCCATCTGTTATTAGTATCAGGTAGACTCCAGACGACCCAGACCCTCTGTCTTTACCTCTTTCCAGCCACAAGGTCTCCCTTGAGGTCCTCAACTGCACAGTAAAGCAAGTCTCCAAGTCTTTTCAGGAGCCTGGCATGTTTCTCAGGCCTCCAATTCCTGCTGTTTCCCTGGACTTCGGACTTGCCCCTGGTCTGTGTGCTTAAGTTTGTGCTTGCCTCCTGACCTTTTGCTTGTTCGCAGCCCCATTTGTCACTCTGGCTCTAACTTATTCTTTCTCTGATTCATGGACTCAAACAGCTCGCAACGCCTCCACTTGGCTGTTCTATTCTTGAGTTCTTAGTTTTCACCCGAGGTCTACAACCTGGTCCTCCAATGCTAGTGCCTAAATCTAGATGCTGGCAATGCTATGTTTCTTTGACTCTCATATGTCTGTCACAGCCCTTGGGTCCCATGTTCTACAGTGAAGAGCAGCTCCATAATGTCATTCCTTCTGGAAGAGTCTCCTCCTTCCATCAAAGATAATGTGCACATGCCACTCATGAATCACTTTTTAAAAGTTCAGGGGCTGGAGAACGGCTCAGTTCCTAAAACACTTCCTATATGAATGTGAAGACCTGAAGTTTAGTCCCAGTGCCCATGTCAAAAGGCAGGCTTGGCACCATGGGCCTGTGCAGTCAGCACTGGGGAAACTGAGATTGGGGGATCCCTGGGGTTTGCTAACTACTCAGTCTAGTCAGAGAGACTCCAGGCTCAATGACATGCCTACTTTGAAAAGAAAGGTTGGCAGTGATTCAGGAAGACACTGAATGTGGCCCACTGCCTCCAAATGCACTTACACATGTGGGCAGGCATACTCCTCACACACATACATGAATACACACATACACGCACGCACACACACACACACACACACACACACACATACACATACGAACACACATGCACACACATACGTGCGTGCAGAATTCACTTTAAATTATCACTTACTAACACAGTGATGCTTTTGATTTATATTCACTGGAGAAAATGTTTGCTTTCTTTCCAGATGGGAACATCTGATTTACCAGTTTGGAGGCCATCATGAATTAATTGATTATGTTATAGCTAAAGGAAAAGTCATCTATAAAAAGTAACAGATCTGGGACAAAGAGATGGCTCAGTGGGCAAAGTATCCTGTCACCAAACTGGAGTTCAATTCATGGGACTCACATGGTGGAAGGAGAACTCCTAAGAGTTACTCTCTGAACTCCACTTACTGGCTGTGGTATGTACCAGATCCCTCCACATACCATCACACAAATAAATGTTAAGATAAAATGTAAGATATATTTTAAAAATGATAGCTCTGAGGGGCTGAAGAGATGGCTCAGCAGTTAAGAGCACTGCCTGCTCTTCCAAAGGTCCCGAGTTCAATTCTCAGTAATCACATGGTGGCTCACAGCCATCTGTAATGAGATCTGGTGCTGAACACTGTACACATAATAAATAAATAAATCTTTAAAAAAATGATAGCTCTGGAAGATGAGAGAAGACATTTTCTCTGTATCAAGTAAGTCCACATAAGCTAAATGACTCCAGTGGCTTGCCAGAACTACACCACTTAAGCCTAATTGTATGCATGCTCTGCTGTTCAGTTGAAAACCCAAGGGACTGACTGACCTGTTTGACTTGAGCATATGTACTTGGAAGTGTAAATGGCAAACCTATTGTGATGAAATGGAGAGTTGTTTTTCCAAGACTGGCTACAGATATTCTGGGAAAAGTATGATGAGATAGCTCAGAAATTCCTCTGTGGGAGAAACAAAAACTCAGCCTGAGAGCTCTGTTTTGTCTTTGTAAGTGATCTGTTCCCATGAGGCCAACAGTACCATTTCCTAAGAAGCAAAGAGAATCTTCTCTCCCCACAGTTTGTCTTTTGAGATGCTTTCTAGTCAGTGAGGGCCTTCTGGGCAGAGGTGGCTTTCCGTTTTTAACATCCTGTCAGTCTTTGAAATGAAACTTCACCACAGAGTGTAAGACTTGGTGTCTTGCACGGACATGGAAACTTGCCTACACGCGCACATTTAAATCAATGCTGATGAGGTAGCTCTAAAAACATCTTTATGTTAAATTTTTTTTCATATCACAAAGCCATGGAAAAGATTTTATTGTTCTCAATAAATACTTGCTGTTATTACCATTGTTGCTTCCTGACAGCCTCAGAAGTAGATCAGCGGTGTTGCCTACAGAGTGTTTTGAAATGTTCAAAGAGCAAATCACAAAATCATTTGCAGAGTGAATGATTACTTGTATAAACTGGTATTTCTAATGCCACACCAGCTTACTCAAAAACCTGTAAAATATCTCCCTGATCTTTGTAATCATAACATTATCAAACACTGTCCTACTTACAAGGTAGTGATTTCACAAATAAATATTAGTTGCCAAACCATTATCAAATTCAGAGCCTGAATTAGTGAGGTGTTGTTACATTCAGTATAAATCAAGGTACCGCACTAATCAAATTTTGCTGTTGTAATAATATACCTAGGGAATGCCACTTGTGGAGTGAAAAGGTTTATTTAGCTCACAGTTGTGTCTGTTTCAAGTCCTGAATCCTGTGACTCAAGGTCTGGAGAGCCCCCCCACCCTCATTGGCGCATTTGCAGTGGAGTGGGTAGTGGTGAGAACACAGAAGCTAGAGAGACTAGGTGGGGTCAATTCCAGGCTTTTATAACAAAAGCCTCTAAGCAACTATCCATAGTCCCAGAAGAAATGCCTTGGTGTCCCGTCCCCCACCTCCCTTTCCTTTTGGTTTTTCAAGACAGGGTTTCTCTGTGTGGCCCTGGCTATCTTAGCACTCTCTCTGTGTAGATCAGGCTGGCTTAGAACTCTATCTATTTGCCTCTGCCTCCCAAATCCTGGGATTAAAGGCATGTACCACCACTGCCCGGTATGGTGCCTTAGTCCCTTTCAAAGACCACATGAGAGCCAGTGTGGTAATAGACACCTGAAATTCTAGCACTGGAGAGGTGGAGGAGGAGAATTATGAATTCCAGGCTAGTAGCCTAAGCTACATAGTGAGACCCTGTCTCAAACACAAATAAAACAAAACAAAGCTCAGAAAGGAGAAAGAAAAGGAACTGTAAAGACTTCTGGGTCATCTTAGTTCAATTCAATTTAACTACTAAGAAGTTTTCACCTATGAGAGTCTGTATCGTCCTTCTGAGAAGAGTGTGTGGGCTGGGTGCTGATTAGGACAGGTGAACTAATATATTTGAAAACACACACACACACACACACACACACACACACACACACACACACACACGAGGCTTTGATCACTGTGAGTTCTTTCATCTGCCTGGAACATTGTTGAGCTTGTTCCCTTTCTGTCAGAAGTTCTAATTCTAAGCTGGGCATTGCCTTCAAGTAATTAATGATCCTATTAGGGCTAAGGTGAACATTAGAAAGAAAAGCCAATGCCAGACAGCCTTAAAAGCTTGCTCCCTTAAAAAACATAACCCACAGGCAACCCAGAGGTGGAGTACAAGGCTGCTGCCTTGGTCTGCAGAGTGAGTTCCAGAAAGAAAAAAGAAGAAAGGAGGGAAGGGAGGAAGGAGAGGGGGAGGATGGAGAATAACTCATGGGAAAACACACTAATTGCAAATTTAGATTAGTTTTACTGGAAACTGAAATGGCCAAGGGGTGTAAGAATAAGTCATTGAAAGGTAAAGGCCATGTCAGCCACTTAGTAAGAACTCTTTTTTTTTTTTCTTTTGAGGGTAAATTAATCTAAATTTTAGAATTTGAAATATGAAGCCACATGTTTTCTGGCTGGTTCTAAAGAAGCTATTGTGGGCAGGGGTCACCTGGAACTCATGTGGTAGAAACTACCCAGGCTACACTTCGGCATTTTCAGGAGTGGAGACCCCATGCCACCCACTCCGGCTGTGCAGTTAGCATGAGTGATGCTGGCTGTGACCCAGTTTCTGATTTGCTCTTCCCATTACTTCCCCATGGTATTTCTTCACTTTTCCATCATTTGTTTTCTAACCTGGCCCACTTCCCGGGCTATAAGTGGTAAGGGCAAAGACTCAGATCTTAGTTGCCACTTTCTTAGAAATTTATCTGCCAAGTCAGGTGTGATGGCTCATGCCTGTAATCCCAGCACTAAAGAGTTCAAGGCCAGCCTGGGCTACATGAGATCATATCAATTTTTTTAGTATTTATTTTAATGGTATGTGAATGAGTATTTTGCCTGACTGTGCACTGTGCACCATGTGTATGGCTGGTGAATAAGGTGAGAAAAGGGTATTGGATCCTTTGGAAATGGAGTTACAGACAGTTGTGAGCGGCCTTGCGGGTGCTGGGAACTGAACCCAGGTCCTCTGCAAGTACAGCCAGTGCTCTCAACTTCGGAGTCATTACTCCAACCTCATAATAATAAGATAAATAAAACATAATAATTAATACCTTTTATAAAATAGAAATTGACCAACCACAGGAGTGATTTCCTGAAATTGATATCTTCTTGCACTGACATTGCCGTGAATGTCTCCTTTTCCTCCCTTCTCTGACTCCCACCAGCAAAGGCCAATCCAGCTACCTCCTCCAGGCCTCCTGACAATCTAGTCCCATTGCAGTTCGTCCTTCAGCCTCTGGGACATAGGTTTGGCCCAGTAGTTATCATAATCTAGTTCTCTGCTAGGGGGAACGTCCTTGAATAACAGACTGCATTGGCCAGGTAATGCACCACAGCCCAGGCTCAGTCCCGTACACTGTGCTAAGTGGCATAATACTCAATCGACAGGTGTCAAAAACCTGACTGCATGTGGCTTTAAAAGTGTGTGTGTGTGGGGGGGGGCAGTCTCAGAGATGGCTCAGTGGTTAAGAGCACTGGGTGTTCTTCCCAATGACACAACTGTCGATAATTGAATACGATGTGCTCTTCTGGCCTCCACAGGCACCAGGCATGGCACATAGTACACAGACATACATGCAGGTGAAACATCTATACACATAAGATAAAAAAATAATATATGTACTTTTTAAAGTAAGGGGAGAGGAAGCCAGGCCTGATGGTACAAGCTTGCATTTCCAGTTACTTGGGAAGCTGAGGCAAGAGGATTTTGAGTTGAAGGCTGCCTTGCCTATGGAGTACGTTCAAGATCAGCATGCGTAATTTAGTAATACCCTGTCATGGTCAGACCAGAGATGCTGTCCATGTAGAGGGGACAGCATCTTTGTATCCTCTCCATTTCCTTGTCTAAGATACTAGACTAGAGAATCTCTCTGCCCAAGTCTATAAAAGTGAAGAATTCCCTCATTCTGTATGTTTTTTTTAATCTCTCACCATAGCTTCTCCTGTTGTACACGATGCTGTCAAAGGAAGTAATTACCTACCTCTCACACATCTTAGTGCCAGTCTACAACCAAACCAGAGCTCTATCTCATTCCTTCCTTACCAAACAGTCTCAAAAAATAAACAAACAAACAAACAAACAAACAAAAGATAGTTGGGAATATATAGCTCAGTGGTAGAGCACTTCCCTCCTATAGGGCCTTAAATTCAGTATGAAGGGAGGAAGGCAGGGAAAGAGGGAAGTAACGAAATAGAGATGGAGGGAAAAGCAGCTTTTTCAGTTCACCATTGGAAGTTCAGAAGCAGGGTAAGCCCCCTTTGGTATATACAGCAACTCAGCCACCGGATGACACAGATCCCTTCTTGCCTTTGTTCTGCCACCTAGCAATGCCCTGCATCTGGCTGTCAGTCAGCAGGCCAGCTCTGTGTTTCCTCATCCAGGTCAAGCAGGAGAGAAAGATGACTTCCCTGGCTCCAGGGAGAGAAAATGCTTTCTCAGAAGTTGCCAAAAAAGCTCTCCATGTCATTAGCTCAGTTGCAATCTGAGGCCTTTCTTGAGCTAAGCGGTTAGCACGGAGGACCCATTTACACTAAGCAGGTCTATCTGTAAGCCAGGAGTGTGCTCTACTTTGTTTTCAATGTTCACAGCTAATAAATGAGTGCCTTTAACAAAAGTAACCAAAAAAGGGCAAAATGGTTGTTTATCTTTGATTACTTGTTTATGACAGTCATTCTGAACCTTCCTAATATTGCAACCCTTTAATACAGTTCCTCATGTTGTGGTGACCC